ATAATATCCATATTTCATTTTCTTTTTGAAAATCTTATATTATGAATGCATCGTAATTTCAAAATAGTTTGTAGATCCTTTGAGGGCACAAATTGGATCGTTTGTAATATCACAAATGCATCAAGGTATTTCTAAGGCAGTTTTTAACACCTTCTATTACTTAGACTGATAACTGCTTTGTGATAATATTATAGATAGTGAGGTTAACTTGATCAAGAGTATTATTTTGTAGCCCATGGGCTAATTTCATGTAGTCTTGCAAGGACAACTTGACATTTGAGAAATATTGTAAGAGCATCTAGACCTGTTCTAAACATCCATTTATTAGAGAGGGGGGAAATAAAAAGATATTAAAGAAGAAACAAGGATTTTCATTTTTGGATCTGGCCATATCCTGCTTGCTTCAGTTCAGAGGTGGGTTTCTGCCAGTTCACCCCGAAATGTGCGAACTGGTAGTGAAGGGGGCAGGAGGCTCCACCCATCCGCCCAGATGCTTCTGCGCATGCGCAGAAGCATTGCACGAGCACACACGCATGAGCGAACTGGTAGTGAAGTAAATTGAAACCCACCACTGCTTCAGTTGTACTCCTACAATAGAATCCTCAACAGATTAACCCTGGAAAAAAAAATAAGTTCACATTGGGTTGTGAGGGGGCTCGGATATTTCAACACCAAAATCTGAGTTAAAATGTTATTTATTTATTTGTTTGTTTATTATTTATGCATGTGTATGGACATACATAGAAATAACTGAAGGCAGTGAGAATATCCAACACACATTCCTCTTCCTATTTTTCCACAACTGCAGCAACCATGTGAGGTGAGCTGGGCAGAAAGAGAGACTGGTCCCAAGGTCATCCAGCTGGCTTTCATGGCAAAAGCAGGACTAGAACTCATGGTCTGCCATTTTTCCAGCCTCTTGCCTAGACTAAACTTTGTCAAAATCAATCCGAAATAAAATCAAATTATCTTTATCATGCGCTCATAATGTATAAAAGAGGTTGATCAATAACTGCTACTTTTAGCATTCTTCATATCTTAAAGAATGTTTTTAAGGGGTGTTATTCACTCATTAGAGTTAATGAGACTGAACATTTCTCAGATTTTTTTTTATTTTTTTTTGCGAGAAGGATAAGAAGCCAATAAATGGGAGTAGTTTTTCCTGAATAAGTGATATCCACCCAACTGTAACTCTAGTAGATGGTTAAACCAGATATATTCAGGTGCTACCCTGATTCCCTGAAATAGCAATTAGCAATTAGACTTATATACCACTTCATAGGGCTTTAAAGCTCTCTCTAAGCGGTTTACAGCATCAGCATATTGCCCCCAACAATCCGGGTCCTCATTTTACCCACCTCGGAAGGATGGAAGGCTGAGTCAGCCCTGAGCCGGTGAGATTTGAACAGCTGAACTGCAGAACTGCAGTCAGCTGAAGTAGCCTGCAGTGCTGCATTTAACCACTGCGCCACCTCGGAAAATAAGACCTCCCCCGATAATAAGCCCAATTGGGCTTTAGAGCACATGTGCTAAAGCCCTCTCCAAAAATAGGACCTCCCCAAAAATATTGCAACACAGCAGCAGCCATGAGGTGACCACGTTCGCTGCCTCCTGCACCTCAAAAATAATAAAACCTCCCCAAAAATAAAGACAAGCACTTATTTTGGGGGTCAAAAGAAAATAAGACCCTATCTTATTTTCGAGGAAACATGGTATATTGAAGATCTAGTACTATCCAATAGAGGAAAAATATTACCCCATCTTTATTGCTTCTCTGTATGGCTTCATCTAGCCCATTTGCTGCACAATACTTCTCCTATGTCCATGTTCCAAGATTTCCATTTGGCCCAATATCATAATCCTTAATGGTTGACCTATTTGAAATCCCTCTCAGTTTTCAAATTAAAGAAGATCCTTTTCTTCTCTACAAGGGAAGGTCAAAAGCTTTCAATTGCCTCTTAAATTGTATTACATGACAGTTTTCCTCCTGTAACTATATTAACAATAAAAATGTTTGTGCAGAAATTCACAGAAAATGTACCATATTTAATGTCATTAATTTGAAAGCTGTCTCCGTGTAACGGTACTGATACGTTGATTAATGCACAATGTCAGCTTCGCTGTAGCAGTAATTTTATTTAATGTAATTACTGGTTGGTTAGTTAGATTTATATCACCCTTTCCTCAACGACCTCAAGGAGGCACACGTATCATTTCTTTTTCTCTTCTCTGCCACAGTACAGTGGATCGGCTGACAGAAGTTGCCAGGCCCAGAATCACCCTCTGAACTTCCCTGACTAAAAGGATAGATTAGAATCTAAGTCAGTGGCGGGTTACGGCTGGTAAACCCCCCCCCCCCGGGTACGGTGCCTGGTGGGAGCAGCAGGTACTGTTCCAGTACGGTGCTGCAGAGGACCCGCCCGCCCACTCTCCTTACCAGTATTTGACCCTACCAGACCATTTGCGCATGTGCACGCAGCGTACGGTGCCTGAGCAATGCTTCACCGAGCAGCTGGAGCATCACAGGGTGGTGGTGCGCATGCGTGCACAGCGTACGCGCACGTGGTGGGCGCCCGGCCCCATCGCAGCGTACCAGTTGCGACGCGATCCGGAACCCACCTCTGATCTAAGTCCCGACAATCCTGATCCAAAATACAGGTAGTCCTCAACTTGCAACAGTTTGTTTAGTGACCTTTCGACATTACATCCCTGAAAAGTGTGACTTTCTGACCATTTTTCACATTTACAACTCTTACAGCATCTCTTGGTCACGGAATCAAAATTCAGATGCTTGACTTGTATTTATGACGGTTGCAGGATCATGTGATCCCCTTTGGCGACCTTCTGACAAGCCAAGTCAATGGAGAAATCAGATTGGCTTAACAACCGTGTTACTAATTTAACAAGTGTGGTGACTCACTTAACACCCGTGGCAAGAAAGGTCATAAAATGGGTCAAAACTCACTTGACAGATGCCTGACTTAGCAACAGAAATTCTGGGGCGAATTGTGGTGGTTAGTTGAGGACTACCTGTCTTTATCTCTGTACCACGCTTGAAAACTCATGTGGGCCATGGTGGGCTTGCAAAGTCGCAGTCCCAAAGTGCTACTTCGTAGACTCATTGACTGTGAGGTTGGCTGGGCTGTTGCCTCATGCTTGGTGCTTCAGGGATGAACATATCAGCCTACAATAGGTGAGATAAGAGAGCAAGGATGCTTCAGATCACCAAGCAAACGTGTTGGAGAAAGGAAGTGGAATACCAGCCTGGATATTCAATTGAAAATCGACATATAAGTTATCTATGGAGTAGAGTACTATCTAAGCAGTATATAACACTGAAGGTCTATGGCAGTGATGGCTAACCTTTTTTCTAAAGGTGTGCCAAATCTGTGTGTGTGCGTGCGTGCGTGCCCACTCACCTGCACTTGAGCGAGCGACCCCCGACTGCACATGCGTGAGCGACCCCCATTAGGGGGGGTGGGAAATTTTTACCCTCCCCAGGCTTTAGAGGTTTTTGCTAGGGAGGGCTGTTTTCACCCTCACCAGACTTCAGGAAAGGCTCCGGAGCCTGGGGAAGGTGAAAAATGGCCCAATGGCCCAACCACAAGTTCATTTCCGAATTTCTGGTTTGCCCGTTGGGCCTTTTTTTTGCCCTCCCCAGGCTCCAGAGGCTTTCCTGAAGCCTGGGGAGAGCGGAAATGACCTCCTCCGGAAGGCTGAAAATTAGCCGAGCTAAGGGCTGCCCTGCCAGCAAATATGGCTCCATGTGCCACCTGTGGCAGGCGTGCCATAGGTTCGCCATCACGAATCTATGGAGAGTCTCAGTCCAAGTCAAGGTGCTTTTTCAAAAGGCAACTGGACTTTGTTTTTCCTTGAAGACATTTTACTTCTCATCCAAGAAGCTTCTTCATTTCTGACTGAATGGCGGAGGGTGAAAGGGTTTATGTTCCTTGCAGTCATCTGGCCATATATAGCACTGAATGAATAAAAGATAAAAGGAAGGACTAATCTGAATTTATATGAGGAGCCTGTTGTAGAAATCGGAGGGAGACCGGTTAGGAGAGCTGCTATATTTTCTTGAAAGTGTGGAGTTACGTAGGGGGGAAAGGAAAGGGACAAGAAAGATTTTCTCTTGGAAAAATGGAGGAAAGAGAGCAGATTTTCTTGCTGAAACTGTTCTCTACTATAATAAAAAGTACAAGTACATGATAAAGGCAAGAAAATAAATGGCACGTACATAAATCATGCAAAGAACTAGCAGTCTTTGCCTAGGCAAGAAAACAACTGAATAAAAGGACGATTTAAATTAGAGAGATGGGTGTGATTTTTAATTCTTTTCTTACCAATTTAACTATTTTTTTGTTTTACTGTTGGCCCTCTTGCATGGCCTATGTGCCAAAAGAAAACTGCAAAATTATCTTACAAATAAATCAAGAAAATCATTTGAGAACCTAGGTGCAATATAGATGGATAAAATCTAGAACATGAGTCTTTCAAAATTTTAGAATGGTGGTTGGTCGTGCTATGTTTAATGCAGGGAAGATCAAAGAAGCTCATCTGTTTTTCAGAATAATTTATTTGGGTTTCGGGATAATTTATTCTAAAACCAACTTTTTATTTTACAGCGCATCACACACAGCGATGGAGCCCCCTTCTCCAAAAATCCTTTGGGACTCAGCTTTGCCAAACATCTGTTCAGCTTCTTGATAGGAGCTTGGTAGGCACTCAAACACCATGTTAAGGTGTTTTGAGTTGCTGTCAAGAAGCTGAACAGATTTTGGGGGGAAAAAGCTGAGGCCCAAAGGATTCTGGGAAAGGGGAAAGCGGCACCATGGCTGTGTGTGATGCATTGTAAAATAAAAGCTTGGTTTTAGAACTGCCTTGATCTACCCAAACGTGATAAAACACAATAACAACAACAGACTTCAACCCCGCCATTTTGTATCTTGCCCACAGTCCAATCAGATCTGACTTTTTCCTTGTTCTGATGTCCAATTCAGGTTCTACATGGTCAGCTACTACGAGCGGAGTCATCGAATAGCAGTTGGATCTCGCCATGGTTCAGTGGCCCTCTATGACATCCGGACTGGAAAATGTCAGGTAAATAAATCATAGTGATCCTCTCCCTGTAAACTGCAGAAGTATTGAAAGGAAAGAGACTCGCTCTGCACCAGTTGACATGCCGAGTCGCTGGAACGTTATGGATAATGCTAAGGGGAATCAATAGTTTAATGAAGGACTCGATGTATATATACAGTCTCACTGTTTTTGTTTGCTGTAACTGAATGGTGAGCACAGATGGGTTAATAATAGCTGTCCAACACACACACATACACCACAAACTTCTCACACGGTGCCTTGGTTTTCCCTACATCAGTTTTTGTATTGCATATCTGCCGATTATTTATATATATATATATATATGTATATATATTGCATTTGTGCTGATAAATAATATAATGAATGTATGTATGTGTGTGTGTATGTATGTATGTATGTATGTATG